TCGGAGCTGACGCTCCCCGCTCCCCGCAGACTCGCCGGGCGTGCCCCCGAGCGCCAACTCGCACCAACTGTTCAGAGGCTTCAGTTTCGTGGCCTCCAACCTGGTCCAGGAGCCCCCGCAGCAGGACCCGCACAGAGCGGCCGTTCACCCCATCGTGCAGGTAACCCCGTGGGCGGGCGGGGCGCAGCCACTGGTGTCCTCTCAGCCGAGGAGGATGCTCCCCCCCGGACTCCCCATGCCTCGGGCGTCCCTGAGAGCAGCCGTGGTGTCTGACGCTGGCCGTGTGTCCCCGCGTCGCCCATCCTGAGGGAGGGAGAGTCCTGATGGCGGTCAGGTGTGCGGGCGGAGCCCCCGGTGTCACGGGCAGGTGTCCTCGCTGTGGGAGCGGAGCTGGGACCCAGGAGGCGGCTCTGTGTGTGGGAGCCACGTCCCTGTCATGAGATGTGCCTGTGGGAGGTCAGGAAGGTGACTTTGTAGTTTCTTCCCTTATAAACCCACCTGGACAGGGAGGACTCCGCGCAGAAACCCTGATGACATTGCATCTAACGCAGTCGGGGCACGTGGGGCGCTGGGCTCCACGTTTCTCTCCCCGCGGCCCTCTGGGGAAGAGAGCAGGGTGTCCCAAGGGACGCTGGCTGGGAGGGGGCGCCCAGCCTCAGTCTTGTACGCGGTGGTGACGGGGCTTCATGGGGTCAGATTTCCACTTAGATGTCGACACGCAGACACGCGTGCGGGACGCAGCGTCTGAGCCCCACGCTGGGCCTCCCGGGCGCCGTCCCCTCCAGCTCCCAGAGTCTCCCTCCGCTGCTGGGGAAACTGGCCGCCAGCCCCGCGGTGTCTGAAAGGGTCGTCACCCATAGGCGGGGGAGGCTGGGGTCTGATGGGGAACCGTCGTCCTAGCTCCGTGGCCTTGGCCAGAGGACTCGCCCCTCCCGGCCTCCGTGTTGAGGCGCACAACCTGGACCCCCTTTGCCCCTGTGCTATGTGCCTCCCCACTGCGAGAGCTCTGAGGGCCCTGCCTCCGCCCCCCGGCCTCAGGGTTGGAGCGCACAGCCTGGACCCCGGTGCGCCTGCCCTGTGTGCCTCTTCCCTCCCCGCTGCGCTCCCCAATCCCACAAGAGCTGAGGGCCCTGCCTCTGTCCTGCAGCAGCTGCACGGGGACAACGTCCACTTCTCTGACGGCTACGAGGTCAAGGAGGACATCGGGGTGGGCTCCTACTCCGTGTGCAAGCGGTGCGTGCACAGAGCCACGGACGCCGAGTACGCCGTGAAGGTGAGGCCGTGCCGGGCCGTGCTGAGTGTGGGAGTCGGGCCCGGGCAGCTGCCTGCACCCACCGGCCCCGCCCGCCACCTCCTAGGCTCCCACACGACGGGTTCCCCTTACTCTGACGCCAGGTCCCCACTTGCACTTTATTTTGCACATCAGCATGTGTTCAGCTCTATCACCATCAAGGCACTGGCCCCCTCGCGCCCTTTGTGGGTGACCCACCCCGGAGCGGTAGCTTGGGCACCCGCGTTTGGGGATGTAGCATTGGGGGCAGGCGTAGCGATTGGCAAAGGGAGGGACAGAGGGGAGGGAGGGGATGTGGATACAGCCCCCAAGAATCAAGCCAAAGGAATAGCCGCAGGGTCAGCGGCAGCCCGGCCAAGCCTCACGCAGCGGCGGTGGCGTGCGCTCAGCCCTCGGGAACAGTGACAGTGTCCGCCGCCCAACCTGTCACCCACATAGGAGCTCTCGCTCTGTCCTTGTTGCGACATTAAGTGTTGGATCAGGAAATACAAAATGTCCGCTTCCTGAGTTTCCTGGTGGGTCAGTGTGGGTTACAGCGAAGTTTCCTGCACGTGGTAACCTAGTGTCTGGGAGAGGATACTGTACATTCTCAACAGGCTGCTCGGCCCCACCCCGCCCACCCAGCCGACCTGGATTTGGGGCGGGGGGCAGGGGGGCAGGTCCACCTGGGGCCATGGTCACCGGACGTGTCTGGATGCGTGGCCACGAGCTGGTCCAAGGACACAGGAAGCTCCTTGTCCTCCTGGGCCCAGAGCTTCCCTGAGAGCCGGTGCCCACACCCCATGTCCTCAGAGTGGGGCGGGAGGGGGTGCCGAGAATTCCCAGGCAGCAGCCTGGTCCGGGGGAGCCGGGGGTGGGAAGGTTCCGGCCTCTGGCGCCGTCTGTCCAAGAGCCCCACGGCGCCGCGGTCTGTTTCAGATCATCGACAAGAGCAGGAGGGACCCCTCGGAGGAGATCGAGATCCTGCTGCGGTACGGCCAGCACCCCAACATCATCACCCTCAAGGACGTGAGTGCGCTGGTGCCCATTCCCGCCCGTTTCTCCTCGGTGCTCGGCCGTGCCGGGTGCCGGCTGCAGGGGCTGCGTAGACACCCCGAGTGGGTTCTCCTCGGTGCTCGGCCGTGCCGGGGGTGCCGGCTACGGGCTGCGTAGACACCCCGAGTGGGAAGGCCGGGGCGAGGGGAGCTCCCTGCCTCTCACCTTCCTCGGGGGAAGCTGCCCCAGGGGACCAGGTCAGCTCGCCGCCCCTGCCTGTCTGGACCGCGGGGTCCGGCTACTCCGAGTCCTGTCCAGGCATAGCCACGTGTTCAGCGTCTACATGTCTGCGGGGGGCGGTGGGGGGACAGGAGGTCGGGACTCATCCCGGCAGGAGCCTCGGTTTGCGGGCGTGAGCTCCTGCCCCGCTGTCATTCCTGCCCGGCCCAGGTCATTCACGCTGGTTCTGTCCTCAGAGCCGCGCCCGAGTGAGGGGACTGGCCCTGCCCTCGTTCTACATCA